TTATCAATCTCAGCTCTAGCTGTCCAGCTGTCAGGTAAGTATCCGAGGCCATCTCAATCTTTGTTCCTGCTACCCGTCCGAGGGTGCGTATTTGGACCTACTCGAGGGATGTGGAGAAGCGTCCCAGGAGAACGTTCCACCTAGGGTGCTTGATCCAAGCATGCTTGTCGTATTGATGCTAGAAGGTTTGCAGTAGCCCTGGATGGGTTTGTCAGTCGCTGTACCAGTACTTCAGCTGTTGGACGATGAATACCCGGAGTCGGGGATGGGTGTGTTGTCTTCACATCCATGTGTTGAACCTGTTCAGCTGTATATCTTCATTCCTTTTCTGCTGCGAGGATGACGATCCCACGCCCTCTCAAAACGAGCAGGAAACGGCCAAAGCCGTGGCCCAATTCATCAATGAGGGACAGTTTGGGGTTTGTGACCACATATCTCATGCCTAGCTTCATTGTCCTGAGTTTGTCCTTGGCGGAGGAGAAGAGGTAGGGGTCCACAGTTTCCCCCTTGTATGCTTTGGACATGACATCATTGAGGATCTCCATGCGCCATTCTTCCACCGGGATTTGCTTGAATGGTGTTTTCTTGGAAGTCCTGGTGCACTGTACCTTTTCTGCAAATTGGGACATTGAAAAGGTGCTCAGGATTTCTCTCAGGTTCTTGTCTTTGGATCCTCTTTCCAGAGCTAGCTAGTATGGTGAAGGATTGAATGGTTTTTACATCTATCTATCTTGAATCCAGTCGCATGCCAGATTGGGGTGATGGGAATTGGTTTGGCCAGGAGGCACAGTCTCCTCCTTGCCTGATCTGCTGTTTCCAATGCTTCATCCTTTTGTGCTCCTCTGCCCTCACCTTCTGTCTTCTCCTTTTCAAGCAGAACCACTCTCTCCCCATCCTCCTGGTAGATGAGATCATCGTCATACTTCGAAAGTACTGGCTTCTTCATACCTTTTGGCATGAGGGCAATGTAGATTTGCACTCTTATGTTGCCATCCACATTGGTAATCCAGGTATCGGTCCAGGTTGGTCGTGAAGCTATCCGCATGCCAGGCTGTGACAGGCATCATCAAGTAGCTTCCATGAACAACGAAACCATGTTGTCGCCCGCTGAACGGAATTGTCGGTTGTTGATCACCTTCAGGACCATTCCATGCGGCTGCAATGGCATAAAAATGCTAGTTGAACACGTAGATTCCTTTATCAAGGACTTCCTCCTTGACGACCTTAGCCTGGATGTGCAGGTGATTGTTCTGAGATGATCTTGGACATATGAATGGCTTGGACTGCAGGAAGGCAGTGTATCATTGGACAAGATCCATCTGATCTGTAGCACACACCTACTACAGCCGATACCGGTACATACACGTATCGGGACTACACTACAATTGGCTAGTAGTCTACCGGTACAGGTTTTGACCCTAACCTCGGCAGGTAAACTGCCTGAGTTCTCAACCCCTTTACCTCGGCAGGTAAACTGCCTGAGTTCTCAACCCCTTTAATGCTATTTCCTATTTCCTATTTCCTATTTACCTCGGCAGTCTAACTGCCTGAGTCCTCTACCCCTTTAATGGCAAATTTTGTGTCTGTGGGATCCCCCTGTTTTGGTGAATTTCGGTTTTTCACAATTTCAATTTTGACCTCGGCAGTCTATCTGCCTGAGCCCTCACCCCCTTTTTCGGTATTTCCTATCCAATTTGGTCTCCCAGACCACGCTCCTTTTGGTTTCCCCCTCAGTTGCACTCCAAAATCGATTTGCCGGCGTTTACTGTGTAAATTAGAGTACCGGCACTTCAGTTGCAGAATCAACGGTCATGTGTATCGTTAAGTAACAGATCGATTCGTGGATAAAAAGAACCGTTGAAGTTACTAAGGTTAAGGCTAAATTGAATTACCGAGGATTCCAGCCAATCGCACGACTGTAACGTATCTACTACCATACCGTACAGCAGCACATCTCTCAAGTCCATCATTGAAGGCACAGCGCTGACTTCTCTCCCTCATTGAATTTCTATGGCAAACAGGAGAGAAATCCGAGCTTGGCCGACAAGAGCGGTGTTGAATCGATCGATCGATCGATCGACTGGTACGGAGGTAAGAATACCTATAATCAAGAGTGTTATTGAAGGTGCAGATTCGAAAGCCATCCCTCATTGAATTTCTATGGACCACAGGAAGGCAGTCAGATCTTGGCCGTCAACAGGCGAGTTGTTTTAATTATTCGAATCGATCGATCGCATCTCTATTATCTCTGTTATCTAAGCCTCACTCAAGCCGGTTGACTCTGGTACAGAAGCGAAAGCCATCCCTCATTGAATCCTATGGACCATGGGATGGCAATCATTTCTCGGCCCATGACGGCCAAGTTGGTGCAAGTTGAAAAACAAGGGTTAGTCTCCGGTCGTCCACAGTATCAGAATAGAAGAGAAAATCATATCTATTTCTTACTTTCTATTCTCTTATTGCAGACGGCCGAGGAACTACCATTGTTGACGATCGATCGCTCCGGATAACAAGAGGAGAGGCTACCGCTACGGAGGAGGAGGCTCTGTTAACTCCAGCCCTACCAACAGCCTGAACAGAGGAGCCTATCGTCGTCGAGTCATTGAAAGGCAACAGTCACCGGAAGAGGCAACAACACACAAGAGAGTGGATCCTCCTACCGGATTCATCCCTTCTTGTTATTTCCTACTGTTTTGGTGGTGATTCCTGTGTCGGTACCCATTTTCCTGTATGCGCAAGTCAAGTACTGTTGCCACTAGCTATATGGCTATACGGCAGCTGGCTACAATGGCTGGATTGACACTATTCGGTTGTGCGTGTATTCGTCATAAAGATCCAATGCGAGGTAACCGAGTGCAGCGAGCAAAGTCGAACCTGAGTGTGTTCCGTACTGTTGCCACTGTCACCGA